TATTCTATTCTATTCTATTCTATTCTATTCTATTCTATTCTATTCTATTCTATTCTATTCTATTCTACTCTATTCTATTCTATTCTACTCTACTCTACTCTACTCTACTCTATCCTATCCTATCCTATCCTATCCTATCCTATCCTATCCTATCCTATCCTACTCTGATAGTAGCTTCTGGGGGAGTCACTTAGAAGCTATGGGGTCCTTGAACTGAGCAGGCAAATCTTTCTTGCAGTGGCTTCAAGCACTGTGCAGATGTTGAATGTGAGTGAGATATCCACCAATGCTGCTCTGGTCTCCTGGGACTCAGTTGCTGGGGCCACTGGCTACCGAGTAGCTTGGGGTCCTACACCAGGTAAGATCCCACTGCCTTCCATCCTGAATCACCCACACCTCCTCCAGTAGCACAGGAGATAAGGCTCTGGGAACCTCAGGAATGATGAACATAGGAACAACTCCAGCTCATTAACTGGCCTGAGCTACTTCAGGGCATGAGCTGAAACCAGAAATTATTCCAGGGCCTGTCTTGCAGTGCTGGCAGATAGGGTCTCTGCAACCTGACCCCATCCCAATTCATATCCCAGTGGGTACCACTGGTAATGGTTCTACGTTACCTTGCCTGGTCCTTGAGGATGAGCTGAGTCACAGCAGCAGTGCAGGGGCTCTGCAACTCCCTGGAGGGCTGGGGTGAGGCAGAGAACACATAGGTGCATCCGGTGACCCATATTATGTTAACTGGGGCCTTGGGTGTGAGAGCTGGTTCTTTTGGATCCTCTTGGTGAGTTCAATTGCTTTGGTCATTCAGATTCCTTAATAAACAATCAAAGGAATATTCTCTTGTTCCAACAAACACAGGCTGAGTCAAAGATGGGGAAACTATGGTGCATCTCCTAGTGTACGATAAAGCTACTCCCCAGATTTTAGTCTGTATCCTCTTCTATTTCTTTTTCTCTCTTTTGCAAAGAATTTTTTGGGAAAGATCGACCTCGGCAGCTGGCCCTCAACAAGTCAATCACAACCTACCAGCTCCGCAACCTGGCCCATGACACCGAGTATGTGATTTCCCTCTATGTGCTCTTTGGCTCAGTGGAAGGACCAGGGATCACAACCACAGCCAAGACATGTGAGCAGAGTGTTCAATTAATACCATAGCATGCATCCATTGGGTGGATGGTTCAAGTTGGTGTATGTCTACTGAAGGGAGGTTCCAGATTTATCATCAGAGATGGAAAGGTAGAGGAAGAGGACTAGAATCCAGTATGGAGACAATGGTCTGAACATTGTGTTGAAAGGTTGACATGGGCAAATACTCCTATTCACAGCACCCATGGGAGCTCCAGGTGGATGTTTCAGTCTTGCAGAAAGCTGCCTGAATCCCCATGCTGCCTCTTTTGGATTCACAGATATGCTCCTAGCTGAAGCTACAATGAAACATACACTTTGGTGCTAATGGCAATAGGATGTACGTGCAAAGCCTTAGAGTGTTCAGACCAGTTTCCCTCCAAATGAGAACAATTAGGCACCAGGGATAAGCAAAGATGGCACTTTTTAATATTCTCCAATTTTGGCTTTACTGTACTGCCAACATGGAGCCTTCGGGGCAGCAATCAGTGCACTAACGCCAACTTAATCTTGCAGCTCCTCTTGGCTACATCTCCAATTTCAAGGTGACATCCTACACCAGCTCAAGCCTGTCTCTGGCATGGAGCATCATGTCGGCTGCCACCAAATTCAAAGTCACCTGGAGACCTGTGGGAGCCAGCAATGGTGAGCAGAAAAAGGGTGAACGTACTTATTCCTGTCAAAGACCCATGTCAGTGGCCATGGAAAATACCTTTCCAAAGTCCTTATCCACTGCCTGGAGCAGGAAAGAGATCTCACTGCTACAAAACAATCTTCAGCCAGCACCCATTGCTGATAGATCTTTCTCTCTTTGTGTTTGTGCTCTTCTATTTATGAAGTTAATCCCCAAAGCTCTGGAATTGCAGTGCAGCAAAGAAAGGATGTTTCCCTTGAAGGGAATGCCGCCAGCCTCACTGATGAGCTACAAGAAGCATCCCTTCTTTTACAGAAAAACAGGTGGCCAAGACTCAGTACCTGGGCAGCAGATTGTTGGCTCACCAGATTGACCACCTGTTGCCTGACACCCTGTATAAAGTCAGCATTAGGGCTGTCTTCAGCAAGACTGAGGGGCCAGAGGTGACTCTGACTCACCGCACAGGTACGACCTTATGGAACAGCCCTCTGTGTTGGGACACTGGGGTTGGATTCATGGGGTTTTGCTTCTTCCAGTATATTTTTCACATGAGTTTATCAGAACCCATAGTGTTTAAATGTGCCTCTGAATGATCTGTCCTCTTGTTCCTCCCTTCACGTCCCTGTGATGTGCAACCAGAGTTTGGTGCTGGCAATAAAAATATGGATGAGACCCCTCAATTTAACTGCACAGTGCTCTGCTTCATGGATTCTTCTAGTAAATACAGCCTGGTATCTCTGAGTAGAGTCATAGAATCACTGAGGTTGGAAAGGACCTCTGAGATCATCCAGTCCAACCATCAACTCATCCTTACCATGCCCACCAACCATGTCCCTAAGTGTCACAACTACACATTTCTTGAACACCTCCAGGGATGGTGCTGACCCAACACCTTCCCTGGGCAGTCTGTTCCCTTGCTTGAAGAAATTTTTCCTAATATCCAACCTGAACCTGAACTTCGCCTCTTGCCTTTTCTTCCAAAATGCAATCAACGACTAGGGAGTTATAATTCATAACTACTGAGTTTTTCTTCAGTGTCATGACTTAGAACAACAAGCACTTCATTACTTCCAACATCTGACCCAGTTTTGGCTGGGATAGAGTTAATTTTTCTTCCCAGTAGTTGATCTGATGCTGCTTTTTGGATTTAGAATGAGAAAACTTTGATAGCGCACCAATGTTTTAGTTGTTGCAGAGCAGTACTTACACTAAAACAAGAACTTTTCAGCTCCTCACACTCTCCTGCTATCAAGGAGCTGGGAGGGGACAGAGCCAGGACAACTGACCCAAAGTGGCCACAGGGACATCCCGTATCATATGGCATCGTGCTGAACTGTAAAACTGAGGCCAAAGGGTCCACCATTTCTCAGGGACTGGTTGAACATCAGTCAGGGAGTGGTGAGGAACTGTGTTCTGTATCACTTACTTTTAAAAATTTGTTTTACTTTTTTTTTTTTAACTTCCCCTTATTTCTTTCTTATTAAACTGCCCTTAGTGCATGAATTTCTACACTTTTCTATTTTGCAGCATCTCTCACAGACTCCAGCCCCATCCACACCATCCAAGATCTGAGGATTACCAACACTGCTATCAATACTTTGAAGCTGTCTTGGAGGAGGCTTCCAGAGGCAACTCACTATAAGATATCCTGGGTACCACTCAGAAGTAAGCATCCTGCTCCCTTAGGTGCAGTGTGAGGACAAAGAACAAAGATCACCAGAAAACACAAACTTAACTCAATCCTTTTCCTACAGATCATCAGGGTGGATGGGGGCTATAGTATCTCCAGGGACAGGCTGAAGGCCTGAAAGTTGGCCAAGTTTTCATCTGTAATCTGGAGATCAGTTGGATTTAAGTGTAGTTGTATTCAAGAAGTCAGGGAAGGGATTCCATTCCAGCAGTGTATATGATGCCAGGCCAGGGAGGAAAACAACTGTAACAGTAATTGTTAATAGCAATCACCCTGCTCTTTCTATGTAGTATCATGGATTTATTTATTTGTTTGTTTATTTGTTTTGTGGTGTCGCTGCAATTGTGGCTAGGTGGCTTGGAAACCTCACAGTTAGTTGGAGGTGAGAGCAACTCATTCACCATCCCCAAGCTGAAGGAGAGCACCACCTACACCATTGGTGTGTCTGCAGTGATTGGAGGACAGGAGGGAAACCCCACGCTCCTCACAGCCAAAACTTGTGAGTATGGAATAAATGTCACCAGGCAGTGCCAGGGATTGTGATGGGAGATGGGATGGGATTGGGCAAGGAGAAATATAATTGGGCTGTATCGATGGGAAATATCTTCACCATTCTCAGCAGGTTAAATGTAAATATCATTCATGAGTTTATGGCATCATGTAGGATGATCAGGGGACTGGAGCACCTCCCCTGTGAGGACAGGCTGAGGGAGCTGGGCTTGTTCAGCCTGGAGAAAAGAAGGCTGAGGGGTGACCTCATTGCAGCCTTTCAATACCTAAAGGGAGCCTACACAGGGGAGGGGAATCAACTCTTTGAAAGGGTTGATATGTGTAGGATGAGGGGAAATGGTTTTAAGTTGAGGGAGGGGAGATTTAGGTCGGACATCAGGGGGAAATTCTTTACCCAGAGAGTGGTGAGGTACTGGAACGGGTTGCCCAGAGAGGCTGTGGGTGCCCTGTCCTTGGAGGTGTTCAAGGCCAGGTTGGATGGGGCCCTGGGCAGCCTGGTTTAGCATTAAACATGGAGGTTGGTAGCCCTGCATGTGGCAGGGAGTTGGAGATTCATGATCCTTGAGGTCCCTTTCAACCCTGGCCATTCTGTGATTCTGTGTAATACGACTGATGCTGCAGAATAGGGAGATTTGGAAATCCAGGGGTGGAGATCAGGTACATAAAACAGTCACGGAGGCTTCAAGGAGTAATAGCATCTGGTACAAGTGATCAGGCATAAAGTTAATTTCCCACCTCAACAACTCAAATTTAATGATTGGTTGGGAGAAAAACCCGGCATCCAGGCTGAAGATATGACAATTATTTGATAAAATTATATCGGTTTGCATTTAGGGAATGATTTAGTGGTCAATATTGATGGTAGGTGGACAGTTGGACAAGATGATCTTAGAGGTTTTTTCCAGCCTTAATGATGAAGGTCTCTGAAACTCAACACGGATGAAGACGTGTTTTCTAGCATACCCTTCATTGCACCCTGACATAGGTGTAGAGGGCATGGTGGTGATGGGTTGTTACTTGGACTTGATGATCTTAGTGGTCTATCCAACCTGAATGATTCTATGATAAGCTTGCTTTCTTTTTCTTTGCAACAGTGGATTTACCCAAAGTGACTGAGTTCACTATGCAGGAAGCTGCAGAGACCAGTGTTTTGCTGACTTGGACTGCTGTTCCTGGAGTATCCACATACCTACTAACATGGCGCTTGTCCTCAGGTAATATTCATATGGTTGGGAAAGGAAGGATGGCTTGTAAATTGGACTCATCTGAGATGAGCTGCCCTAACTAAGAGTATTTGAGGATGGAGCATGAACAAGTGTGGCTTGGCTTGTGGTCTATTCAGTTCAGTACTTGGTCTTAGAGACAGCTGATGCAGCAGAAGATGAAAGTGGCAGGTAATATAGAAGAAATTTCTTTCCACCAACAGCCTTAATTGCCATCCAGAGAGCCCTAGGCAGGCATGAGCAGTGTGCCCAGGTGGCCCTCATGAGGTTCAACAAAGCCAAGTGCAAGGCTTTTCACCAGGTTTGTGGCAACTCCACATTTCCCTGGGCAGTCTGTTCAATGCCTCACCACTCTTTCTGAGAAGAAATCTTTTCCTAATGCCTAACCTGTAATTCCCCTAGTGCAACTTGAGGCCGTTGGGAATAGTTAACCAAGAAGTGGTTGGTTTTGTTTTCTATACAGCCTTAATTCCTTTCTGTTCAAAAGCTTTACCGTACAGCAAAGATCTTTCAAAACTTTCCTAATCATTGCTTATAATTTTTAGCATATATTTGTTTGGGTTTGTTTTTGTTTTTTTTTTACCCAATTGATTTGGCCCTAATAGGTTTGTCATTTTAAAGAACCAGGTTTCTTATTTTTTCAGGAATAGGCTTAAGCCTGTTTCGATATAGCAATTTTCCTGTCATTGCTTCAGCTTCAGCTACTAGCTTTTTTTTTTAATCTTCACAAGCCAATAAAGAAAACAGATCTGACAAAATTCCCCTGTGCTCCCTGCAGTGCTTTTATGAGTTACCAGGTCATCAACTTTAATTTTTTTTAATTCCGAGGACATTTTAGTATTGGCAGCCTAAGGCTTGCAGCATATGTCACTCAGGATGAAGTCTCCTGCGATAACATCATTTTTTTTCCTCTACATATTATAGATAAATGATTAGGGAACAGAACATTCAGCTCTCTAGGGTGATTTAAGTGATCTAATGTAACTGTTCCTCCCCTGTGCTGTGCTGTTAAAGTATCGATCTGTAAGCATTCAAAAATCATTGGTTTCAGAGTTGTCAGGGGCTCAGAAATGGGTAATAGCACATCTGACAGTCCCACTGTGCCCTCACTCGATCGCTCCTTCTGAAATAGGTTTATAATTATTGATTTAACATCACAATCCCATGAATCTTGCCACTGAGTTTCAATAGTACCAATGAGATTAAATTTATGCTCTTGAGTAGTTCGAATTTCTCTTGTTTAATTATCCAAGTATAGAAAGACCGTTAAGAATTATGCCCTTTTTTTTTCCTCTTGGTGCCTTTATTAATTTTTTTTCTCAGCAACTTGAATTTTTTTCTAAATGAATGCTCATTCATTACCCATTTGCCTTTCCCTCCAGTTGGGCTCATTTAATGCCCTCCTCCCTACCTGCCTGCTCTAACCATCCTGTTCTGTAAGAGTTTGGATCCCCTTCCACTCAGCTGGAGGTCATCACAGTTGTAAATCTCCATCTCTGGTGCTACATAAAACAAATCCCATTCACCTTGATAGGGCTCCATCCATATCCAATCTTCCTGCCCTCTCTGATAGACGGGACGTTGGAGAGATTCAGCTAGATATTATAGAATCACAGACTCATTAATTTTGGAAAAGATCACCATCAACTCCTCACCATGTTGCCTTTCTCTCTCTTGTTTCTCTCATCTCTTGAGTACTACGAAAGCCACAAAGTTTGCTTCTATTCAATCAATGTTTTGCATTCATTCTTTGAAAACTGTCTCCGGAAAAACAATGGTCTTTCTCTAGTGCTTGTAGGCCTCTTCCTCCATAAGCTTACCAGCCTCATGCCATGTATTCTACCCTGAATGTGATGAGGTATTTCCTACCTCAGTCTACTACCAACTTCTGCTTGTGGCAGAGTGTGGTAACCTTACACTTTCTCATTATGTGAAAAACCAAACGTGAAACAAAGGGTTTTAGTGCTAGATAGCACTAGACAGCCACAGTGTAAATGTAGTGTAATGTAAATGAAACAGGTTATTTACAACTACTTTATTTATTTCCCTAGAAGCTAACCATTATTCTTTTAAGGAAAAATGTTATTTCAGAATGAAAAGGTACAAATTTCATTTTGATCGCTGTCAAAACTCATCATTCAGCATTTTCAAAAATGAGACACTTTAAAAATGTCAAAACATTGTTACGACTTTTACACAGATTTTTTCCCACCATTTTAAACTAGAACTATCTGTGGTACACAAAAGCATTTCTCAAGTTAAGCTTACTTCTCAGCAAGCTTTCCATTCATTAACAAAGAGTCCTGCTTTTATACACACCAGCCTTTGCAAACTATAATGGATGTTTCTCCCTTTTTTCCAGCTTCTGATCTTTCCCTGGAAGTGCTACCAGCAGCTTTGAGATCGTATCGAGTGACAGGACTGAGCTCTGAGGAGACGTATTTGTTTTCCATAAGACCAGTCTTTGGAGATAGAGAGGGACCAAAAACAACACTCGTTGGGCAAACAGGTATGAAGTCAGAAAGGTCATTCTGTAGTTTTTCCTAGGTAACTGCTGTTGAAGTTAATTTCCTGTTTTGTTTTGTTTTGTTTTGTTTTGTTTTGTTTTCCTAAAATTCTGTTGCTTTTCAAGGTAGTACCATCATAACTAAGATGTTGACAGTGATGGGTTGATTGATGGACTAGATGATCTGAGTGTCCTTTCCAACCTTAATGATTCTTTGATTCTATGTCGGCTGACAGCTGGACCTCACGGCGATTCACCTCCACTGGTCTCTCCCATGACTTCTGCAAAACAGGCTACCATGAGATCCCCATCTCCAAGCAATGTGAAGACCACTCCTCTTCCATTAGCCACCACTACATTACAACCAACCCCAAACACCCTCCTGTCATCTACCACAGCTTCTGCACCGCTGACAGCTCTCCCTGGGCCAAGTGAGCGTGTTATCAATGTTTGATTTCAGGATGATGTAGAACTGGGTCAAACCACCAGGAATTATTTTTTTCCTCTGATCTCAGGAGCCGAAATCCTACTCTTCATTCAGTATATAGTGAGAGTAGCCAGAGTTGGGGAAATTGGAGACATAAACCATATATAATGCAATTAAGCTCTCAGCACCATCCTGTGGAGTGAAGGTGCTTGCTCACCAATACTTGGCATCACAGAACATACTTGAGCTGGCATTTGTTTCATCGTTCCATACACTCTAAGGCCCCACAACTTACAGAGATTCTCTCTTCTCTCTGCAGTCTGTGGCAAGTTCAAAGCAGACATTGGGTTCCTGGTGGATGAGTCCTCAAGTATTGGCTGGAGTAATTTCAACAAAGTGAAGGATTTTCTCTTCCGGATCATTTCCTATTTCCCTAAGATTGGGCCTGAAGGGACACAGGCAAGCATTTGTTATTCTGTTTCCTGAAGGTGATTTCTGTCCAAGTCTTTACCCATTGCTTACCTCTGCAGTGCCAGCAGTCTGCTCACTCATGCTGAGATTCAGAGAGGTTTTGACTAAAAACACACATCTAACAAAGACCAGAATAGAAATCTTCTAAATCTCAGCCTGAATCCCTATTTGTATGGAGATATTCCCATTGCTTGGTTATTTTGCTAAGAACAAGTCATTAGGAATGCAAATTCCAAACCTATTGAAATACTATCCAGTTTATAGAGCCCAGTGATGTATCAGCCTTTGGGTGCCTTCCTGGGATCCTATTTCATCCCACATCCAATCCACTAATGAGAAGAAATCCCGATTCTCAATCTGTGGTATGAAACTTCCACAGTATTAAAAACATGACCAAGCAAAGCAAAGCTACAGGACTCCGTAAATATTTTATTTGGGGTCATTTGTGATTAATTAACATTCCATGTGAACTAGTCCATTGAATGCAGCTTTCAGTTGAAAAGGAAATGGGAAACTTCTTGCACTCTTTCCTTGTAGGCAGCCTTGAAGGTTTAGGCAAGTGATGAGTTTACCCTAATTTAACAAATAATTCTGGCGAGATGAAGCCACCTCAGTTTAGGCTGGTATCACATGAACTGAGTAGCTGAGCTCTCTTTGCTGTTGATGGAGGATGAAGATTTGATTGAGGAGGGATGCACAGTGTCAGGGGAGATGTTGCTCCCACACATTCATGAGCTGCCAGAATTGTATTTCCCATCAGGTCTATGCTGTATCTACCAGCCTGTGCCAAAATTTCTGGTGCCCTAGAGTACAAAATAGTACCTTGCCCATGCTTAAGCATCTGAATTGTAACATATGTGTTGTCTGTGAAATAGGTGTTTTTGTGCCTTTTTTTTTTTTAACCTGTAAGAAATACAGACTAAGGAATACCACTTATATTGCAGTGCCAGTGGTTGTGTTATCCACTCAAGATTTACTGAGTGATCAGTGAGTCACAGAATCATTTGAGTTGGAAGGGACCTTAATTAATGGCCATCTAGCCCAACTCTCCAACATTGAACAGGGACAACTACAGCTAAATCAGGTTGCTCAAAACCTGGTTCAGCCTGACCTTGGATGTCTCCAAGTGATGACACCTTTGCTGTGCTCCTGAGCCCTCCACATCTCTCATCCATTGGTGTTTTTTTTTTTATCAGGTTGCTGTTGCACAGTATAGTGAGGAGCCCAGAGCAGCCTTCCACTTCAACCAGCACCAGGACCGCAAAGGTGCTCTGAAAGCTGTCAAAGAGCTACACTACCTAGGAGGCAACACAAAAACAGGTGTGTATGTGTGAGTCTATACATGTTGAGATGCAATTTTGGGCCAAGACAGAGGGTCGAGGCCTGAGAAGGTGTATGAGTGTTTTGAACCAGTTTACCTGGTTAGAAAGTTACGGTCTAAAGTTCTGTAAAATTTGAGAGCAGAGAATTATATGTGTTTTTATTCCCAGAGATGGTCTATCCAACTAGTCTGGTGTCCTTTATTTGTGTCCTAGTTTTACTGCTGTGTTTCTCTTCATTGTTTTATAACCTTGAGGGAGATTTTTATACCTGGCTTGGAGACCTAGCCCATAAACATTAGATAAGGATGGTTTATGCTGAAGCATCGTTATTACCCTCTCCATGCACATTTTAATCAGCAAGTTCCAATGGTTATTGCTTTGCTACCCTAACAATAAAACAATGAACCTAGTCTTACTTTCATGACTTGCCATCACATAATGTTCTGTGTTTCCCCCTGTTGTACAAATAACACAGCTCTTCATCAGCTTCATTTCTCAGAAATTCAGAAACTTGTCTTATACTGTCAGAACCTCAGGCAACCCTTTCTACCTACACGTTCCCAGCAGGATGGTGGGGTATACCTACTTCCTTGAAAGTACAAAAGCAGTAATATTAAATTGAAGGTGATTCGTTTTAACTTCTTTAAATGGCCCACCTAAATGTCTTCTAGTCAGTAAACATAAAAGGAAGCCTTGAGGAATCCACATATGTTAAATGAAGACTTGTAAACCTCATCCTGGCTCAGTGGTATTGGTCAGGAACATATAGAGGTGGTCAGAATGCAATAATTTGGATGGGAAATCCAAATGGATAGGGAAAGTGGCTGTGAAACTGGGCAGACTGCAAACTCTTCAGTTACCTTGCCTCTAGTACTATTATTTTTGTGTATGTGGGATTTGTGTCAACAGAGGCATTTTACCTCCCTTAGGAGTCCACGTTATTTTGGGGCTTCTTACCCATTTCAGCTGGAGGGAGAGACCTTTAGGAAACTTTCCTGGTCTTTCTAAGGAAATTTGGAAACGAGAATTCTATGGGTTTTTTTCCTAAAATTTATGGAAAATGCTTCATATCTCCCAAATATATATTTCCTTTTCCAAAACTATCTGCAGATTTCAACCTGAACCATTCCAGCCAGTCTGATTTACTGCTGTCTTCCTCCCTCAAAATGCATTGCCCCTCTTTAAGGTCTACTGGCTATTTATGAGGCCACACTGAATGCCCTCATCCCTCTGTGCATGGAATGGGAACCTTCCTGTACACTTAACACTTCTGTAGATTTAATTTGTTTCTCTCCACGTTTGCCCAGGTCGTGGTATAGCCTTTATGCTAAAGGAGTTATTCCAACCCTCCAGAGGGATGAGACCAGAGTTCCCTCATGTGCTGATGCTTGTGACTGATGGGCGATCCCAGGATGATGTGTTGCCACCTGCCAGAGCAGCCCATGCTTTGGGTAAGAATTGCCCTATTGTGTTTCCCTAAGGCCTTGGTTGTCCTCCATGTACAGCTAGGTGCTGACTTTCCAGAGGGTTTATGTGAATCCATAGAATCATAGAATCACAAAATGGCCTGGTTTGAAAAGGACCACTATGATCATCCAGTTTCAACCCCCTGCTATGTCACCAGCCACCAGACCAGGCTGCCCAGAGCCACATCCAGCTTGGCCTTGAATGCCTGCAGGGATGGGGCATCCACAGCCTCCTTGGGCATCCTGTCCACTTCAAGTGCATCGTTGGCTTTCATCACTTCTTCATCCTCTCTTCTTCCTGTTCCTGACTTGAGAACCTTTGTGTTGCTGTAACTCACACACACTGCTGTCAGTGAATTCTGTAGCAGCTAGTAGAGTACCTACTCCCATCAGAGGTTGTTAACAGCAAGGCTGTGGTGAGGGGTTTGGAAATTCTGATGTTAGACATTTTTGCTTCTGTTGAAAGAGTGATGTGTTTCAGGAATCCGCGTCATTGCTGTGGGTGTCTCAGGAGCTGACCCTGCTGAGCTCAACGACATTTTACTGCAGCAGAACCTCCAGAATGTTTTCTATGTGAGCACATTTGATGAGTTCCCCCATATCCTCCGAGAGCTAATAGAAGTCATTTGCTCTGACCTTCAGCCCTCAGGGGCCCCGCTGCCATCTGGGGAGGTGAGCTGCTTTACAGAACTTTGAATAAAAGAAATTATCTGGCATAGGTCATGCACAAGGACAATCTTCTTTCCAAACCAAACTTTCAAAGAAAGGAAGTAACAGATTCAGCATACTGAGTCCAATCCTGAATTCACCCACTGTCCAGTCCTGGCCATAGAATGATAGGATCATTAAGGTTGGAAATGACCACTGAGATCATCTAGTCCAACCATCAGCCATCAACCCATCAGTGTGAAGAATAAAAAACTTTGAAAACAAGGCAGTAGAGCTGGGGAAGACAGAACAGAGCTTCAAATGTTTTGTCACATACAGCCCCTGCAGGGCCGAAGTATTTGAATGTATTATAAACATTTTGCCCTCTCCTAATTCTGATTTATGGATCTTTGGTAAGGATGTGTATGATGGGTTTTCTCTAACAGTGCTACAGCTATTTCAGTGAATAGGCTGGCGACATGAAAGCACAGTAATCTCTTGAGACATGTTGAGGGCTGATTGTGATGTCTGGCCCAAAACCTGGTGGATCACCAGTCTAACCCAAACTCCACGCTGTAGGTTGCCAGACCTGAAGCTGACAAGCAATTGCCATTTGATGATACAGACAACAAAGTACACCTCCCCGATCCATCACCAGCTGAACCAGACATCCAGAAAGGAGTGGAGGCTTGTGGTCCCTGGTGTCTAAAGGTGAGAATTCCTTCACCGATTCACAGGAATGTAAATAATACATAGAATCTTCAAGTCATCTAGATTGGAGAAGACCTTCAAGACCACTATGTTCAACCACCAACCTGACCCACTGAGTCCCATCACTAAACTATATCCCTTAGTGAGGATAGGAACCAGTCTGTAGTGGTAGAGCTTATCCCTCACTTCTGCTTTGTAAACAAGGCATGTGCTAGCCTGTGTTTCATGGTCACATTAGTTTGGTTTTATTTGCCATCCTTTGCTGAATCTATAGGTCATTTCTTCCATTTTCCTTTTCCTTTCAAGAACTCCAGGGGCTCACCAGGTCGTGGAGGTTATGACCCATATGGGTTTACTATGAAGGGAGAGAAAGGAGAGAGGGTGAGTCCCTTTTCATTTGCTTGGTTAATTAATATACAATTAAATGATTAGTAATAACAAGGAGATCTTCAGATCTTTTTATGCTGGTGTTTTAATAAATGTTGCTCTTTTGCTCTGTTGCTGGCTTTGAAAATCAGGCAAAAAGGAACTTCTACATGTTTGTATTTACTGGCAGCTGAGGATTCCCTCAAGCAGTGCAGGAAGCCAGTGATGCATTCAGATATTCAGGTTGGCAGGTCTGCAGCCATAACTTGCAGGCTATTATTTTTAATTTAGGGTCTACCTGGGAAGGATGGCATTCCTGGACTGCCAGGCAGACCTGGACGAACAGGTCCTCCTGGTCCCCCTGGACTCATGGTATGTGCTTGCTTTAGCAAACCCCATAAGAATGGCATTTAATGGAGAAGTGAGCATGACTTTCAATTCTCTCTTTCCTGTCTTGCAGGGTCTCCCTGGCATCCAAGGTGATGTTGTAAGTATTTTGAATGTAGTGAATATCATCATACAGAGGGAACCTAAAGCTTGATCATTTCACAATGATGATTTTGTGGGTGCTTTGTGGTTTAATGTTTCGTGATTTATTTTTAATTCCAGGGATCTCCAGGCTATCCAGGACCAGTGGGGCCAAAAGGTGACAGGGTGAGTTTCATTCCTGGGTTTATTTGCAAAAAAAGCTCGTATATTGCTGTGATCTCTTGTTTCTGAGCAGTTGCACAGGGATCTTTGGTGCATATGAACTTCTGAGTTATACGTAACAGCTCTAGTCATCATCTGTGGGAGTTGTCCTTCAGTTTGTCTAGGAGATATTTAATGTCTTCATGGAGAAAACTGCTCAGTTCTTATCACAGGTCCTTGGCATGTTTCAGTTGGATATTTGCAGTAGCATGTATCTGTTGGTTGAGTCATTCTGCATTTTTGAGAGTTTTCATTATGAATAAGCCTGTTTGTACATGTTTAAGACATGGAAAGGTAAGGTTTCAAGACCAGCTGTAAGCAGTTCCTAGAAGCAGCTGTCCTGTCCTTCCCTTGTCCCCAAATACTTGTTTCTACTCTTTCCTTGCACCCACTTGAGCTGTCTGTATGGCTGTGCCATGTCCTCTTTTGCCTGGATCTCCCAACACAGCTGAATGTGCATCTTTATTTCCTTGCTCACAGGGAGAACCTGGTTATGTCTTAGGAGGAGTGGAGGTGATTCCTGGCCGAAATGGGCACCCTGGTCCACCTGTGAGTGTTTTTCCCTTCAGTCTGTGGCACTGACAGAGCAGCAAAGAATCTGGGAAAGATCACATCTCTATTTCCCCTGGTTTTCATTATTACAGGGACAGAAAGGACAGCCAGGGGTTCCTGGGGTAGCAGGACCACAGGGTTTACCCGGCTTACCAGGACCACAAGGGCCACCAGGCATCTCCATCAAGGTGAGCAAGGCTATCTGCACCATAGCTCTGGGATGCTCATCCCAGAAAGGGAGAATCTGCCTTAATCCAGAACCTCTAGATACTCTGCTTATTCGAGAGCCCTAAGACCACACATTTCTTCTCTCCATCATGGGATGATCTCACTGAGACACAGAGGGATGAACTCTGCATGGCTTTCCTTTCCACCAGAACCCTGCTGTTCAACACAGTGGAGATCAGTAATGGAGCTTGTAATATAGTCAGCTTTGTCTGACATGAAAGCAGATTCAGTGGCCACTAAGACATAGAATCATTAAGGTTGGAAAAGACCTCTAAGATTATCTAGTCCAACCATCCATGTGCTGCCACTACCAGTGTTGCCCACTAAACCATGTTCCTCAGTGCCACATCTCCATGTTTCCTGAACATCTCCAGGGACAGTGACTCCACCACAACCCTGAGCAGCCTGTTCCAGTGCCTGACCACTCTTTCAGAGAAGATGTTTTCCCAATATCCGTTTACGACTCTAGGTCCCCATGAAGGTTGTTCAGTAGCTGGAGTGAAATACCCAGGATTACTTGTGCTGTGCACAGCCAAAACTGCATAAATAAAATGTGTCAAAAAGTCCCAGAAGAGTTATAGAGACCTGAACTCCCCTCTTATCTATCCCAAGTGTAGTGGCTGATAAATTTTTCAGGCTGAGTCTGGCCCACGCAAGATAGCAGATACCTCTAATGAAGCTCAATTTCCTTTGAGAGTGGGAAGTTTTGGTCTCTGGGGCTGTCATCCTGCAGGAGATTTTGGCCAGGATCTAAATGCAGAGAGATTATTATCCTGCAGGAATACTCCTTGTCTTTTTTGTGTTTCAGGGTGAGCAAGGAGATTCAGGTCTCAGGGTAAGTACCTGAGATTGACTTTCATGTTACTGTATGATGACAATCTTCTTTTTTTATGATTTACAACTCACCCAATAGGTTCTGATTTCAATACTTTCCAGACATCCAACCAGACCTGAAAGGATCAGTGGGACAAAATGTAAGATTGTTCTGTGCTTCATGCAGGGCCCTCGTGGAAGGAATGGCATCAAAGGGGACAGAGGAGGCATGGGAGAGCCGGTGAGTTGTCCATCAATGGTCAGTCACTATGGAAGAGCCATTGGCCATAATGGGAGGGGGCACTGGCCAGGGAACACCAGCTGTCACATAGGGTGGGTGGGGAGGGACAGCATCTACTGCCAGCTCATGTCAGCCACCACTGTGAGATGCTTTGATCTGCTGATGAGGACTGGCACAAGAAGCAGGACCAATTAAGCATTTCTTGCCTTGTAGTCTTCATCCTGCTGATCCCCCACTTATGAATAACCAAAAGGAAAATGTTAGGAGAACAAAACAGACACTCATTATACTAAAAGCAAGGACATGTTCTCATGGCTCAGAGCAAACCTGTGAGAACTACACCCATTACTGTGCTCACAATGACCACAAACCCTTTGACATGATCAATCATGCTGATGGACAATAGAAAATGCTACATGATCAAGGCTACTCCAAAGTGGCAGTGATTCCACCTTGAGTGCCTGTACTACCCATGGAGCAGCTGAGTGCAGCCTGGCACCTTCCCACATCCCAACTCTCTCCCCCTTTCAGGAGGACAGAAAAGAGCTGGGGCAAGTCCAGAGGGGGCAATAAGGTGGCTCAAAAGTGTAGGATGGTAAACAGACTGTGCGGGTGGCAGATTTGGGACAAACAAAAAGGAGGTGACTCTTCACACAAGAAACCCCACATGGATATTTTCAGCATCAGAAGAGAGACACAAGAAAAGAAATAGTCCATGGGGAGCTTCTAAGGATAAAGAAACCATGGCCAGTTTGGAAAGTGTGTACAAATAATTCAAACTTGAGAGATGAGTACCCAGCCTCTATCTTCCCATACAGCAAACAAACATTTCTATTTTTCCCTTCCTGAGTGACCAATCATCCATAACTCATTCTTGGGAGGGGGGGAGATGGGGGACATCTTGAGTACACATAATCATCTCTGTAAATCCTCAATTGCAAAGCAACTGGTAAGACAGGCACATCAGGAAATATATTTCTCTGCTTGTGTTTCTGCAGACTTCTCTTTAGTATGATTGGTAACAAACAGTTTGAGAGAAGAAAGATGTGATAATGTATTTTCCTTTCCAGGGGAAACCTGGCTTGCCAGGCCCTGTAGGGCTGGATGGTGTCCCTGGACTGCCTGGACCAAAGGGAGAAAAGGGAGAAAAGGTCATTACTCTTATCAGATGCTTGTGAGATCCATCATCCCAAGAGGGATTTAAGAGTAGCTGAGATAAAGTAATATCAATGTGAAAATAAAGTGGAGATATATAGGGATTTTCCCCCATTCTCTACTCCCAGCTCATATGTGCTCAAGTCTGTGCATGGTAGAGTAGATGCTTCCTCTCCATCCAAGCGCTTGTTTTCTCTCTGTCCTCTTTTTTCCACCAGTGGAAGATCTCTGCAGTTCCTGCTTCCTCCCAGCCCTGCATGCTTCCTATCCCCTGGATGGGACTGCTTCAAGTAGTCCCTGAAAACATCTTTGCTTTTAATTCTCTTCTCCAAATCATTGTGTGTGCCTTGTCTGAGGTTACTGGCTAGACATATGTCTTAGCTAAATGGTTAGAGAGCAAATTTCTCACCTGCTCCTCAGCAGGATGGTTAAGAACAGAGCTCTGAAGCAGACTGCAGGGAGGATAGGATGTATCATACTTTGCAGTTTAGCATTTGGTACTTGTGTGCACAATGCTGTGCTTACCTTGCAGGGGACGGCAGGAATTGGCATTCCTGGCACTGCTGGCCCAAAGGGGGAAGAAGGACAGCAGGTAGGTTTGCCATTTTGCTGTGAGATTTCTGCTAAAATCCCCTTGGAGCGTTCAGTGTCTCCAGAGTCTTCTCCAGTACCTCTTCTGTAGGTTGCCCCTAGTGGGTACATCCTGTGGCTGCAAATGGAAAGGAATACAGAAAGAGAGTTTAAAAGTCTGAGCTTTCATTTTTTCTTTTTTTTTTCTTTTTTTTTTTTAAGGGGGTGATGGGCCCTCCAGGAGTACCTGGACCAAAGGTAGGTACCAAAACACTGAACCTGAGTCACTGTGCCTGGCACTAAAAGTGCCAAGGAAAGAAACCAGCTCTAATGATCATCATACGCTGTAGAAACGTGGGTCTCTTACTCAAAAGCAATGGAAATAATTCTGTGCAGTCATTGACCCATGGAAGTCACTGACCCATAAAAGTCATTGCTGTGGGATGTTGGAGACACTGGAATGGCAGTGAGATGCACTGTCTTGGTAAGAAGTGCCCATCTTTTCCAGCTGTTGAGGAAAGAGGAAACCTTAGCTTGGCCAATTCTTTCAGCTTGCTCAAAGGCTTGAGGGCTGTGGGAAGAAAGGATTTGGGGGTCCTGGTGCTGTCAGAGGCAAAGGTCTGGACTACTGTATCTCCAGTCCATATCTGGCAATGCTGCTGTGAACCATAGGTAGATGAAGCATAGCAAGGACTGATCAGGAATGAACTCAAGAGGGCAGAAAGATGTCCTTGGATAGATGTTTGATACCAGAACAAGACTGCAACCCAGCACACCAAATTTCCACGGGCCTTGCTCAGGAGACCTGAATTTCCCCAGCACAAGGGGTGCCAGGCATGGGTTGGTACATAAGCCACCTTATTACTCTTCCAGGTTCTTATTGCTCTTGGAGGTGCAAACTCTTACAGTCAGGTTGTATGGCTTTCTGCATGTCCCCTTCTACAAGTAGCTCAGGCATTGAGATGATGACCAATTAAATCTGAGCCGATTAACTTATTTCAGGTCAGATGAGGTCAAGAATATCCACTTTAGGTCAAATAAGGTCAAAAATATTCACCTTGAACCCAAAATAAATTCTTGCCATACTTTCAGGAGATGTGAAAAGAGAAGGAAAAAATAATCTCCAAAGAAATGTTTCATTCAACAAAATATTTTTCTTTGTTTTGCTGTGTTTTCATTTTTTGTTGGTTTGTTTTTTGGGTTTTGTTTGTTTGTTTGTTTGTTTGTTTGTTTGTTTTTGTATATATCATAAAATGGAGGAGGGTTGTTACATAAAATGTAAGGTCATTGCAAGTAGTAACAGCCAGCTTGCTGTTCATGCATTGCTCTTCATAATAGCAAAGATGTCTTTGAATTGCACAGTCCTGGTCCACACAAACGTGAGCCTGTGGCCAGTTGCTCCATGGACTCCTCTTGAGGAAAAGCAAACCTTATTAGGGTGGTCACTGGTGATGTTACCCATACCCAAGGACTTATAACTTACACTATACCCCACATATTGAAAATACTGAACCTGCTTTCAGTCTGGTGGAAATTCTCTTTTGATGTCTTATAGGGACTTCCAGGACCTCCAGGGCAGAAGGGAGTCCAAGTAAGTCAAATAGCAAGAGAATAGGTTTGACTAGCTCAGCTGAAGGTGTCTTGAATTTCTGCAGCTTGTAGGCATGGTCAGGTGTGTTTATGGTGGGGCTACACAGAGAATAAGCCAACAGGGAGTCAAGTGAGCATCCCTGGAAGCTCAGAATCTCCGCTCTGTTTTGCTCTTCTGCTCTTTTGCTCTTTTGCAAAACTGAGTTTTGAGTTGATTTCAGGAGTGTATGGAGGAGAAAAATGAGCACTGCCCCAGATTGTTCACTTTATGTCATCTTGCTTTGCAAGGGAACATAGGATTTCCAGGCGCTCCAGCTCTGGGTGTAACTCTGAGTGGATTACAGCCTTTCTTGTGCTATAGCCATTGAGCACCACCAACAGTTGTGCCAGTAGACCAAGGACTGAGGCAGATGTGTCCCACTAAACTTCAGAGAAAACTATAAGACCTCACCCCTGACCCTTCAACCATGTCTTCTGCCGAGACCTATCACCAAGACAGACTGGTGCATCCTGCATGATATTTTATGATCAGGGGCATGCACTGCTGGTTTATTTCAGAGTAGCATTGGCAGAATTGATTTAGAGACAAAAGGTAGAAAGGCAGCTTTATAGTCCCTAAATCAGGGTCATGGTACAGACATGAAGATTCATTGCTGTCCAAAGGTCAGTCCTTGGTGTATATTAGCACAGGCTAAAGCAGCTATTTGCCAACTACCCTTTTGATAAGAATGATCCTTCAGTCTCATCCCTAGACCCAAAACCTACTGGAGATGGTGGGATTCTGTCACAACCTTCACTGAATTTGGGGTTTAGCTTGTATCCCTGTTGGGCATTTTATGATCCACTGTAGGTGATGCGTTTCTTATCCCATAGCAAGGCTGACATTATCTTGTTTAGGAAGAGGCCATATGAGCCTCTTCTTCGAAAGGGAGACTACTGCCTAAATAAGAGGGTACTTCTGTGATTTATTTTATCCTCAGGTTTTGGGGCCACCAGGCAAGAAAGGTGTCAGGGTAAGTCCACTAATTAGTGCTGCTTGAAATTTAGATAAAACTTTACCTGAAAAAGGGAGGGCTGGACTGTGTTTCACTGCCTGAATCATATATCCCTTGTGATAGATGGGAGAGGAGAAGTTGGAAAAATAGTGGTAATCTTGCCCTGCTGATAATTCTTTTGCTTTTATTAACATTTTGTGCCTGTCATTCTCCTTCTGTCTCTAGTCCATGGGGAAATTTGGTATTTCCATGTGCTAGTTTTAGGACATAGAGTTCACAGAAGCACAGATCCAGCCTACACACAGAAGTTACTATCCAGACAAGAAAGGCATTGACATTAAACCATAGAATAGATGAGGCAGGAGGGAACTTCTAGGGGTCTCTAGTCTTGCCTCCTCCTTGAAACATGGCCAACTTCAATACCAGGTCAGATTCCTTCAACCATTTAGAAAGCATGTCCAATGGCAGAGAGTTCCCAAGTACCTGAGGCTCTGAGCCAGTGATTGGCCTCTCCATGACTGGAAGAATCTGAATTTCCCAAATGAGAGTGATTCCTGAGATAGAGCTGTTCCCTGACTGTTGGCCATATTGTGCCTCTGCTCTATAGTGCAGCACAAATTGTTCACTTCTGCAAAGTTTTTGTGGTTGTACAGGGCCTGGAGTATTTAAAACATCTATTTTTTTTTATTATTCTTTATAATTCATTATATTTTATAATGTCAATCTGCAGAGAAATAAAAGATCTCTCTTATCTTTGCAAGGAGTATTTACTGCAGGAGAAACTCCTCTTGGCTTTTTGACTCCTGGCATTCATGAAATTATCTTCATACTTCCCTTGCCCTTTAGAGATAACGAGTTCTGCCCTTCTCTCTGAACTTGAATGTTGGAGTCACCTCCATTCATTGATTTTATTCTCCAGACTGCTTAATAGTGGTTATCAAAATATTTCTCTTCTTTTAGTCTCAATGATGTTAGGTAATGACCTTGGGCCTGAATTTTGTCTTGCTTGATACTACTTTAAATCCACATAGCACTTCGTAGTTGTGTAGAAGCCCCAAGTACTAAAGGGAAAACTTCAATAGAAACCCAAAGAGGAATGGGGTGGATGGACTGAATGGAAGGATGAATGGTATGGATGGATGGATTGGATAGATTTCCCAACAGAATGGATTTTCAGAGTGGATTGAAAGTGCAGAATGTAGCTTTAGCAAGCCACTTGAAAATGGCTTGGTTTTCCTGCATGATGTTACTAGCTTTTGGGTTGTTTTCATACATAGGGAGATATTGGACCAACAGGGGCCCCAGGACCACAAGGAGACAAAGGAATACAAGGAGACAAAGGAGAGAAGGTAACATACTTGCTCTTGTTCTCTGAACATTTTCAAGAGAGGGGTAGGTGTGGCACTTAGGGATGTGGTTTGGTTTTTAGATTGATGGTTGAACTAGATGTGGTCATTTCCAACCTTAATGATTCTATGACTCATGTCTTGAGTTTGGAAGCTGCTCTTGCAAGACACTGCATCATCTCCCCTTGCATCTTGTTTAGAACCAAGCACAACATTAGCAAATAATTCCCAACAGTTGTAGCAAGGAGGAGGATCAGGCTGGCCCTTTTGGGACTGCAAAGTGATAATGGGTTAGAGATAGCTAACAATTAATATGGCACAGGGCATGCTACCATGAATGAAGAGTGGAGTGGGATAGTGTCTCCACAACTAATGAAAGGCAATTGAAGAATAGTAGCCAAGGTGTGCAAATTTCAGATGGGGAAATTGAGACACTGGGTTTCCCAAGCCATGTTTCAGTGAAAGTTGTCTCTCCACAATAGCATCTCCTAGAGGTGGCAAGCAGTGTGTTTGGGAGTGGAGAAGGATGTGATAGCTATACAGAGGAAGGTGAGACTGACAGAGGGTTTACACTATGTCACTGTCATTGATTTTTTCAGGGAAGTCCAGGTTTTGGCATTCCTGGTCAACCAGGGCTGAAGGGAGACACAGGGGACAGGGTAAGTGGGGCAACACACTGGGTGTGAATAGGGAACTGCTAAGGAGACAAATCAGAAACAATTTCTCAATCACCTCCATGCATATGAGCTCAATGGCTGTCAGAAGGCCAGTCATCATCAAATTAATACCACACTGATAATGAGAAGCTGAACTGTCAATCTGTCTTTGGTGCTCCCATGCTGATCATGTGTTAGGGAGCAGTCTGCACCCAACTGTGGAAGGCAATGCAGAACACTCCTGACTCTAGAAGAAAGCATGGAAAGTCAAAGATCATCTGGGAACTCTGTGGGGAACAAAATTTCCAATGGCTTTGTGTCCTGACATGGTTTAGTGAGCATGATGGTGATGGGCTTAGTGACTGTTGGACTAGAGGTTCCTAGTGATCTTTTCCAACCTTAATTATACTATGATTCTATGAAAGGAAACTTGACCTTTATCTTCCTGACTTATGTGTCAAAGGTGCAAGAATCTGGTGGTTCCCACTTGTGTTCACTAATATCTAGTGAGGGTTGAGTTTGTGTTTCCTCCTATGAGAATATTAATAGTCCATTTTGATTTACTCCAGCAATGACTTGTAAAATTCAGAATCTTTGAGATCCCCACCCTCTATCAAAGTCAATGGTTTTAGAAGTGGTGAAGACAGATGCATCTAGACAGTGTGTGCTTGCAGTAGCCCTTCCTCTCCTGGGACACCATATGGTTTCTCCTTCTCTGCATCATACTAATCTTTTCCATCTGCTAGTACCTGCAATCAAGGAGCGGCTTTGCAGCATTAAGTCTGATGCTGACCCTTTAGATATGGCAAAGGACCCTTATCTGAAATTTTCCTACTTGGTTACTCTGACCATGTGACTAATAGTGTCTATTTCTGCAGGGAAACGTAGGCTTGTCTGGCAGACCAGGTTACAAGGTGAGTACATGATGCAGTGATTGCAGCACTGTTTCATGACTGATATCTGTGTCACTCAACATAACTTGAGTCAGTGAAGTTTTATCTTTGCTGTGGGAGTAGAGTCAAGATGTGAGGGGCATTCAAAAGCTGAAAAGTTTGAATAGATCCTGCTTTGCTGGAGTCTCCATGTGACGCACAGAGCCTTGCACAGGTAAATAATGACAAGATGACATGGCAAAGGGCATAAATTCTACAAACAGTGTCTTGTAGAATTTATGAGCAATGGCTGCTTGTGGGATCTGAATGGGCCAATTTTAAGATGGATGTTTCCATCCGAGGCCTGCTAAGCAAAAAAGCAGAACACAGCCTTTCCCAGTGCAGGGTAGATACTCTGAGCCCAAACTTCAGCCAGCAGTGTGGAAGCAATTGCACGGCCATTGTGCCAGGAGCCTGTCCCGTGATGTCTAAAATGACAGCACTATGAAATACACAAGAGGAACGTAACAACTGCCTTGCTTTCTTTAGGGGGAAATAGGTCCGAAGGGAGAGAAGGGTGAACCAGGATTACCTGGGAAACCAGGCAAGACCGGCCTAAGAGGTAAAGATGTAAGTAGAAGCTACAGGTGGATGGTTATGCTGATACAGACTGGGCCAAGCCAACAACCCTAGGTTATGCCCTTGCAGAATTAGGAGCAAGAGACAACATGGGACCAGTCCATCTTACATAAGTCTGGCTGGGGAGGGGAAGAGACAAGTCTTAGCCCAATAGTGGCCAGCAACATGAGTCTAGGCAGGCTGCCTCAAATTAGGCATGATGGGTTGTTCATCAAGGGATACACCTTCTTATTTGCTCTGTCTTTTCACAGCGAATGAGAAGATGGATCCTTTTCAGGGTATTTTTCAGGCTCTGTTTTGGGGTGAATTCTCTTTACCTTTGGTCAAAGTGAAATGAGCACACGGCACCATAACTGACTTGCTATTCAACATGGTGAGCTTTTTTTGTCGTTGAATCAGTGTTAAGTACAAGAACGACCATGGTGTCACACCAGCCCTGACTATTTTGTTTTTACAGTACAATAGATCCCTCTTTCAGTCAATCAAGGTGGCATTCCCCAAGAGCTTCATGGTGGGTTCAGGTAAACCTCTCCTACCATTAGTCACTGAAGACTTTCCTTTAGTCCAAAGGTCTGAGTTGATGCCTGAGCATCAAGTGGAATAGGACCACCAAGAGAAGACTTGAGAAAAAAAAAAGGAAATTATAGTGAAAATAAAATGGTTACAAGGCTAAATGTAACCTAGCATTTTTGCATTGTGTTTTAGGGAGAACCAGGGAAGAAAGGCATCTCTGGGATGAAGGTAATCAGGGGGATTTCCAACTCTTCTGGGGTTGTGTAGGTGCCAAAGACAACAGCCTCACTCATGACTGCAGTGGGTACAGCAGTGTAGGAGAATGGTAGCACTTAGGGTGAAGTTCCTTGTAGCCCAGAATCTCTTCTCCAGTTAATTAAGCATGAGTTAGTTGAGCAGCATCTGCAAAACCTGTCCCTTTGATTTGCTTTGAAGCCAACTCCTACTTTTTTTATTTTCTGTTGCCTTGCCCTTGAATTACATGAGACTATGAGAAGACTACTCATTATATTTCCTGTGACTTTATTTTGTTTCAGGTTTGATTTTTCATCTTCTAAAGCTAAAGGATGAAAAAGAAAGGCCAAAAAGAATCAAGTCATGTTTCATTTGGGAGATAGTTCTTTATGCTCAGCAGCAGAAAGCAGATTACAACAACTCACAGTGGGGTCTGGTGGAAATTACTCCATTTCCTCCATGGATATGAGTAGTCTGATGTTACCATATACCTTCAACTCCATTTACTCCAACACTAGGATAGATCCAAAACATCAACCCTGGTTAATTATAATTCAGATCTCCATAGGGCTGTCTTGGTACCAACTTTAAAAGCATTAATTCCAAAGAGGAGACCTTAGATGCTTTGGAGCCATTGGAATAGTAGTAGGGCTTGGTTCTCACCTTCTAAAATGTTTTCTCTATGTGAAAGTGCAGTAAAATTAGTACCACCAGTGAAGGTTCAGGCTTGAACAAAGAAGGCTTTTTAAAGCTTCTACTTCTCTTTTTCAGGGAGAAGCTGGTGCCCCAGGAGAACCAGGAGAGAGAGGAATGAGGGTAATAATTGTTGTTATCATAATTTTCTGCCTCGGTGAGCACTTTTCTTGTTTGCTTCCCTTTTTGGAACTGCTGGATGTGTTCTCTTTCTGATAGTTTCTCTGAACCTTTTCTCATTAGGGTCCACTTGGACTCCCAGGACGACCTGGAGAGCAGGGGATAAAAGGCGACCCAGGAGAACCTGGAAAGGATGTAAGGCAAATCCTAAAAGGGCAGTTGCACCTATGTTCTGTCTGATCTCCCTCTAACAGCTTAGGAAAACACTGGTTAACAAAGGGACAGAGATCTTAAGGATGTGATGCTTCTAAACTCTGTGAAAATGAGCAACTGAATGGGAGAGAGAAAGACCCTAATGAGCCTACCTGCTGAGGAAGAGGCTACAGTCACACCCCTTATTAAATATCAGAGTTCCTCTGCAGGAGTGAGGGTGAATTCCAGATTTTATTAGCTTAGCTGCTCAAGGAAGGGCTTGTTAGTCTATTGAAGGCTGTGCCAGCTAGAAGATGCTGAGACTCCCCTCCCCTGCCACAGCTTGTTCTCATCCTGCCTCTCTCTCCCCTTCCTAGGGAATTACTGGAGAGAAGGGACACAAGGGTGATTTCTGTAGGTTTGCACATTCTCATTTATAAACTTGCATGATAGAATGTCTGTTTGGTGGCTAAAATGCTGAATTGTACCACTCACTCTTTTTATGGGGGTATTGTATCTTCACAGGGTATGCCTGGGCTGCCTGGGACTCCTGGAAGTATTGTGAGTATTGCCTTCTTCTGCTGACTTATGCATTTTATATTTATGCATCAGGAAAGGGACATGTTGATGATTAGACTAGATGATCTTATTGGTCTTTCCAACTTTAAGGATGCTTTGATTCATTTTTGAGATTTATCATGAATCCTGGGTACCACAGGGAACACAACACACTGCCAGAACATATAGTTTATGCTGTAGAGCAATTTACCTCTTAGCCTTATCAGAAGAGATAAAGCAGTACAGCTAGTTCCTCTGCATGTGGTCAAATGAATGTCACTCCAAATCATTTATCATTGGTCATGCAAGAAGCTCATGACACAGAAGAGAATAAAACCTGGCTGTGAACTTGAACTTTGGAAACGTAGACACAGATACCAACATCACAACCACCCTGAATCTCTGATACATGAGCAGGAGGAGGATTCACTGGCTCCCTTTTGTTTTGAGCCCAAACACAACATGCTCACATTGCTGGTCGAGCTGCTGGCTTTGTGCCTATGGTTTATCTGGGATAAGAAGCACATGGAGATGAGACATCTTCCTTCACCAGGTTTCTTCCATCTTTTGCAGATGTCTTCTCTGGAGAATACCATCGCCCTGAAAGGGGAAAAGGTATTTTGCTTAAAAATATTTGTCTTGAAGCTGAATGTGTAACTATTTTGCATTTCTCAGATGTTGCGTGGCTTCATTACTTTTATAAGACAAAGTCTGCAAACACATCCTGAAACTCTCAAGCTCCATAAGCAAATTCTTGCTGTTCCCACCTTCAACAGCAAAGCTACTTCAAAATTAATGTATCGCTTTTGAAGATTCCAACAAAAGGTGAACATCAATTCTCCTTCCAAGACCCTTGTGTTTTTGCAGGGCAAACGAGTTAACTCAGTAATTAGGGGAATACATTCAGGTTCTGAAGTTCGCCTGTTTGGCTTAATAAGATGATTTGGATGCCAAAATGACTCCGGTGTTTTTTCTATACAACAAGTATATTGCTATTACAGAAGCTTTCTTGCTATAGCAATAGCTCTGCTTCTGAGTGGGTAAGAGGAGATTTTATCTAGTGCTTGAGTGGGTCCTATTCTATTGAATAGAATGGATCCAGCACAGATGGAAGCATCAGTGAAGGGCAGTAATGGCATTATTAACCAAAGTTGTTATCAGGGAAAAGAATCAATAGAAAAGGTCTCAGGCATGGGAACTCCTCTCAGGGACCTAAATAGTGTATTTCGAGTGAAGAACAGAGATACTCCTGATTTTTCCTTAATTATGTGAGTCAGTGAGATAGTTGGAAGAAAAGGCTGGTTGGTCCATGTGGACGAAGATTTGGATGTTGTTAGTCTAAGGCCAGTACATGGGAAACACCGTAATGTGCAGTGATCACTGTGAATTTTAGAGGGGATAAAGAACTAATATGTTCCTGCTGGCTTACAGGGAGATCGAGGGAAGGATGGTTTGAAAGGTGAAAGAGGTCCTCCAGGCCCAAAGGTATGTTCTCAGATGTATGGAAGGATCTTTGCATTGGTGCCGTTGGGTTGGGTTGGCCAGAAGGGAACACCTATCTCAGATCTCTTATTCCCCAGAATGCTGGGTTTTTCAAAGTCATGAGTTGGGCTTGTAAACTTGTGGTCACAGTGATGCTGTAGTTCTACAATTCCATATGGTAAATATACAATATTTAGGCAGGAAGATGTTCAGAAGCCGGATGAGATATACTTCTAGGGCCTTCCTGATGCCCTTCATTCCACCGGAATCTGTCAATGCAGAAACCAGATTTCAGTGAAATGAAGCCCATCATAGAGGCAGCTCAGCTCCCGGTCTCATCAGAGCTCCTTCCCCTACCAGGGGAGATCCAAAGCTGCTACAGCTTATCTGGCATTTCATCCATGTCAGCAGCCCAGGATCACTCACCTGAAGATACACATCATGATGGATGATGGCAAGGAGACACAGACGGCCCCATAGACAACCTGTCCTTGGGACTTGCATATGGAAGTCCACACTTAAACCTATCAGAGACTTTTGACCCAGATCAAATGTGGTAGTGTGAAGGACCAGCAGGACCACAGCCACCTCTAAAGGGGACCGCCAACCTTGGGAGCAACTTACCCATCCTCTGCCTTGCTGCCATCTCCACACAATTGCTAATGTAGTGGCAGCATTGGTGGCAGTGAAGGACCATCCAGATTTCACTGTTTACATATTAGGAATGGCTGAGGACCAGTTTTCAGGTATCTGTCCCTCCTTTCAATAAAGAATTGCATAATTCTGGTGGGAAACATTGCTAATTCAGTACAAAACACATTCCCCCAGCCAAGGAGATGGTGCAAAGCTCCATTCCAAGAATTTTTTTTGGCAATGCCCTGGTCCATCCCTGCACTATAAAACACAACCACTAGCTGTGTCTGGTGGGAGGGGAAGGAGCCAATTTATCAGGGTGGGTTTTAAATCCTCCTGTGAATCAACAAAAGGGATTTGTTTGGGGTAATGGAGCAGGTTAGCAGCAAAGCAAGGGCCAGATTTCTGTGACCTCTGCTCATTCTTGATGCCAGTCATAAGTAATGAATTGTTCTTGTTCGTTTGAAGGGAGAGCCTGGTCCACCAGGAAAAGGAGTGGAAATGAAGGTAAGGAAAATAAAAACTACAGAAGATATTAATGTTGGAAACACCTTCCCTCTGCCTGTGTTCAGGATATCAGAGGAGACCTTATGAATGCACCAGGCTTAGCCATCACCACCTGCAAGACTAGCTCCCTAGGTTGGAGTGGAAAGATATCACTGTGTTCAGTCTTTTGAGAAATGCCATTTTCTTACACCCAGTGCTTCCCAGAGCACTGAAGTCAGGCTCCTGCTCAGAGGGGGACGTTTCTGCTGCTCTTTGAGTCAGAGCTTTGGTTGTATTCTTACACTTTTTTCTTCTTTCAGGATCTGGAGAGACTTTTTGAAGAAAATGGTATCAAGGTAGGTAATGCTCTGACTTTCGTTCTGATAAGATTACTCTAATAACTTTTCTACCTATCCCCTGTGGCCTTCTGGAGATGACATGTGCACCTCCCAGTCCATCACTGGCACTCACAAGAAGTCAGGGTTATTAGATTTCACTTTACAACTTCCCATGTGAATGTAACTTCTTCTTGGTCAGCTTCGCTCCTGCTCCATTATGGGGTAAATGGGGGCTTTGAGGCCCATGTGAAATTGAGATCTTAGAAAATACCCACTTAGAGCTTGGTGCTACCACTTGGCTTAGCTTGTATGAAGTGTACTTCAGTTCTGCATCTGCAAAGCCAAGAAGAAGAGAGCCACAGGGCTCTGTTGTACATGTTGGTCATATTGTCTATCTTTAGCATGAAGTTGGGGTTTCTCCTTTGCTGATAACCCAAATCACAGTGTACACACTTTTTAGTGTGTAATACAGCCATGGTGTCATTCCAGTCTCATGGCAGTCAACAAGCTCAGTAATTGTGATGAGCCCCAGCTTTTAGTGTCTCATTAACTACACCTTTATAGATGAGCTCATCGCCATCAGCTCCTTATTGTAAGCCCTGGAGAAGTAAGTAAGGGAGATGAGGATCTGACTTATCTAATCAAGTGTAGGGGGATTTATTTGGAATGGAGAGAGCCATTGCATAACTTCCATCAGTCAATTCCTAGATGCCCAAGCCATAAGCACTTACATTTAGATCAACTGCTGGCACTCAGGGCCAAATGCTCTGTTACCCTCTTGGAAACACATCAGTCATCATTCCAGGTTGGCTATAGCACTGTTATTTCTTGGTGATGGGAGAGTGACAATAAACTATGGCCTCTGTTGGTTGCAGCTGGCATTGTTGAAGCACCTCTCCAACGCGATCCTACAGGAGGGGCTGGATTGGCTGATGCAGCACTTGGGCAGCTCTAAGACCTCCAGGAGAAAGCAGGCATTTCCATACACACCCAAACATGGTGTGAGTATTTGTCATCTTCAGGGCATGGACAGACCTAGAAGGAAATGAGACAATGAAGGCTTCAAGGTCACCTCAGTCATCCGGTTTATAGTGACTTGCAGGCATGTTAATCTGAAAGAGGCTAAAGGCTCACACCAGGAAGGTTTGTTGGATTGGAATTGGGATTTGGAGAGCAAAGCAGCTGAAAACATAAGAAATGATCACAAGGTTGGCTTCAAAAGTAAAGGACACGGAATAGCCTGGGTAGGAAGACTTGGGATCCCACTGAGATGCATCCTAGAGTCTTGAGGGAATTGGCTGATGTAGTCACCAAGCCACTCTTGATGATATTTGAAAAATCATGGTGGACAGGTGAAGTCCATGGTGACTGGAAAAAAAGTCACTGTGCACCCATTTTTAAGAAGGGTAGAATGGACAACTCAGGAAACCACAACCTGTCAGCGCCAACCCTGTGCTGGGGAAGATCATGGAGTAGATCCTCCTGGAAGCTATGCTAAGGCACACGTAAGACAGAGGGGTGATACAGGACAACTAGTAATAATGGCTTCACCAAGAATAGGGCCTTCCTGACCAACCTAGTGGCCTACGATGGCATAGCTGCAGCAATGGACAAGGGAAGAGCCACTGATATCATCTGTCTGGACTTCAGTAAAGCATTTGACACAGTCCCCAATAGCATTCTTCTCTCTAAACTGGAAAGAGAGTAGAGGTCAGTGGCTCAAAGTCCAGATGAAGATCAATGACAGGTGTTGTCCCTCAGTACTCTGTGCTGGGACTGATGCTATGATTCCGTGATTCTATGAAATGGTGAGCAGGGACTGCTTATTACTCTCTCCATCTTGGTAGAGGAAGACCAGCATGTGGGACAGAGACTGCTGGAGTGCCAGGGTGATGGGCAGAAACAAGTCATCAGAATCTGTATTTTTTCATTTGTGGTTCCTAGAAGATCGTGTTTGTCATGGTCACACAAAACCATGTTGGGTTTTTTTTGATGTTGCAGGGTTCATTGACAGTTGATAATTCCCATGATGTCCTGACCAGCACTGGGGTGACAGAAGAAGCACAGAGTCTGGCAGTGGACACTCCATTTAGGGTGCTGGTGTCTGAAGGACTCCCTAAGGTGGGAACAAGCAGCAGAGTTCATGAGGTATAGTCATAGATCTGTGCTCTTGTCCATTCAGTTTTCTGCAGGAATAACATCAAGAGCTCACACCTCTGATGCATGCCAGAGCTTCCAGTCCATGCTCCAGTGATGCATTCTGCTCATCCCTCATCCTCCTTTCCCCTCTACTCAACAGCTCCTTCTTGTCCCTGCCATGACTCCATAGCTCTCATTTGCTCAAGTAACCGTGCTAATTTCTAGGGATAATCTAATTGCCTACAGCCTTGGCAATTGCAAGTAACAGATAATTTGTTGTTATGGAAATTAGGAATTTACTAGTGATGTTATGGCTCATCTCCATCCTGGACCCAAGTTCCTGTATGTTGCAGTACACATCCAGGAATAAATATAGAGAGCTGTATCCAGGCTACCTCTCATAGCTGCAGGACAAGTCCTGGGTCATAATTTGCCCATAGTAGACAGTCTTATAAAAGATAGTCTGGAAAACATCACTGGCAGCTGTGGTGAGGCTTTTCTAATCTTCTCTTATGACAGTCAAGCAGTGACTCACCATAAACCCTTGTTAGTCATGGGTGGAAATATTGTTTGTAGTTGGAGCACAAGAGATGTGGGAGTTTTTGGAGCCAGCTCATGGTGAATTTGTCTTTCTCTGTGGTTGGTTCAATGATGACCTGTTGCTCAGGCACTTAGGGTAAGGCAGGCTCATCCTCACTCTGCTCCAGGATCTTACTGTGATCTTGCTTTTTCAGATCACAGCAACCAGGATGACAACATTTTAGGGCCTTGAGGGGGAATGAAGTGTTCACCAATAGGTTTATTTGCATCAGAGGTACCAAGAAACCAAAAATGAACAAATACCAGCAAGCCTGGAGCCAGATTTGGGATTCAAAGACACCAAAGCTATGACAATAAGGAAGTTTTGTTCATCTTAATGATCAGGGTTTTTCATAAATGTTGTCACTATCTCTGCCACTATGAATGGGAGTATGGGGTATAATTAGATGGCTTGGGCTGTTTGTCCAGGACAGGGTGGGAAGGAGCTGAACGCTTCTTTCTAAGGACCTGGTTTGGGGTTTAAGGTGAGAAGAGACAAAACATTCACCTCAAAGCCCCTGAGCAGCCCCCTGACCCACTGGGGATCTTTGTTGGATGCCACAGCCCAACATCATTGGCATTTCCCAAATAAGGTGCAAGAGAGACCTTGGCAACTTGATTCTCCAGGTTTGTCCTGGGCCTCTAATGAATGGCAATGTGGGTAAAGCAGTGTGTTGTGGATTAGGTCTTGACGTAGAAAAGCAGTCACTTTGTTCTCCGCAGGGTCCATCTGTTGATGGTTCTGACTCTGAGCACCAGCCCCTGGGGAACACTCCTGAATCATTGGAGTCTGAGGAGAGAAGGAGGGAGGGAGACTCAAAAGGAACAAATATGTCTCTCAGCAATGTATGTAAATGCCTGTTCAGTGACTTTTAATTACATTCCTACTTGTGCTGATTAAATAGATGCAAAGGGATTACATTCTGAAGAACTTGATTAGACAAACCCTTTGCAATATTGTGGATTCTTCCTCTATTTTACTGCAGTGAAAAATTAATTTAGTGAAAGGATAAGGATTTCTGCATGAATCACTTTCAGTACCTGAAACTTTGCTTTCCATGTTCCACTCTGGTAATCATTAAGATTATGCTGTATTTATTCCATCACCTTCTGCAGAGTTTCTCTGTGCCCTCACCACATCCAGAAGATGATCTGGAAGGAAACTTGTCCATAGAGCTTCTCGAATCCCTGGAGGAAAGAATGGAAGGACAACCACAAGAGGACAACAGACTTGTAGGTATTCCCCAGCAGCAGTAGGTCATACTAGGACCATTGTGGAGATCAGTGATAGACTGGAGGAGGCTGGGATGTTCATCTCACACCCACTGCTCTGAGCCCTGGAACAGCCCCCAAACACATCCACAGAGAAGAGCACTGCTTGGACATGGGGTCTGGGCAGGATGCTGTTGGCCAACTGTGTCCTTCATATATGTCAGGGAATCCACTAGAACCCTTGATAAATTTTCTTGGAGGTTAATTACACATTTTGATGGGGGGAAAAATGACAATTTCAACAAGAGGAGATTGGAATATAACAAACTTTGTGGGTCAACTGAGACAAAGTGACTGTCCCAGAGGAAATGTTGAAGGGTGACACAGCTCTTTTTCAAGATCTGTGAGACATTTGTCTATTAAAAAACTGAAGAGATGAGTTACTGAGGGACAGTAAGAAAGAGAGAGGCTTCTTCCATAATCAGGAGGTACAGCTGCTTTAAAAGTCCATGTTCACCCTCTAAGTTGTGTTATAACATTTGCAGCAAAGTTATAGGGTACTTTGAGGCTGATAGCAGTTATCAGAGGTGAGCTGATGAGCAATACATCTGCAAAGATGTGGTTGTCTGAGTCCTAGCATCCAAATTCACTATTTCTGCTCTCCCAGATATTCAGTTTCTTCCAAGAGCCCATGTCATGCCCAACTTCCATCTACCAAACCCAACATCTTTTTGCTTTCACATCACTGTAATTATGAGAGCAGCGAGTCATGCTGGTAGAGACATAGGTACCCCAGAACCATGTACTGAGTGACACCAACCTCAGTGATGAAGAGAGGACAAAGGCAGTCATCTGGTGCTGTTTTAACACATCTCAGGTCGGATACTGGGAAAAATTCCTTTTCCAAGAGAGTGGTCAGACATTGGATCAGGCTGCCCAGGGAGGTGGTGGAGTCACCATCCTTGGATGTGTTCAAGAAACATGGAGATGTGGCATTGAGGGTCATGGTTTAGTGGGTATAGTGGGGATGGGTTGGTGGTTGGACTGGATGATCTCAGAGGTCTTTTCCAACCTTAATGATTCTACAATTCTATGATTTCAATATAATGTCTTCCCATTTGAGCCACTGACTGCAGTTCTCTGAGTGCGATCATCCAGCCAATTCCTTATCCAGAGTCCATCCTTCACATCCACTCTTCTCCCATTTGATGACCAGGATGTCATGTGGGACAGTATAAAACATTTGGAGACAGGTTGCCTACAGCCTGAACAGAAAAATCCTTTGAGCGTTTGCTTACAGCTGCAAGCACTGTTTCTGCTATGAACAGCATCCAATATTTCTAGGAATAGCCATGTGGGAGGTAGCTTAAAGTGGAGAGGCTCTGTCAAGAGGAAATCTTGCTCTGATTTGAATAGTTTGCTGGAAAGTTGCCTCCTCTCCTACTGCAAATTACCTCTGCACAGACTCACAATAGTTGCAGCAGCCAGGAGAGGGCTCCCAGCACAAACTCACAAACGGAGCATTCACACGTGTTTGTGTGCCACAGTGCATGCAATCAGGAGCATGCACAGTCTGTTTCCAGCAGACAGGGAATCATAAAATCACAGAATCATTGAGGTTGGAAAGATGTCTAAGATCAACAAGTCCAACCATCAACCCATCACCTCCATGTCCACTAAAGCAGTACCACATCTACTCCTTCCTTGTACACCTCCAGGGACAGTGACCCTTCATTTCTAATGGCTGTAGGACCCTGGCTGAGGTAGGAGCTTTGTAGTGCCCCATTCTCTAAAGTAAACAGATCTCAGACCCTATGGACCTGCACCCACAGCCTATGAATTAGACCATCCCAAATCTGAAGTTGTGGACTTGAGTTATGCTGGATGCTTCTCATGAGCAACCTCATCGCATTTGGATTTAATCAATCAGACAGAGCATCTTCCACCTTAATGAAAAGGGAGTGAGCCCTATTGGTCTGTTTTAAGGGAACTAAATGCATCTGTGTGAGCAAACACTATGACCATGGCACTGGGAAGGAAGAGAGCTTTGGGACCAAATGTAGTGCTGTCTTCAGTAATTAGGGGTGTCATTAGTTCAATTAATCCCTACATCTGGGATTACATCCCCTACATGGGAAGCAGAGTCGCAATCATTTATCACCAGGGGCTTATTTATCACTTGAGACCAACGTTGAGATGCTCTTTATCCAAAAGTTAGCACTTCGGGTTTACCACCTGCTCCATTTATCCCCTCTGTCCTCAGGAAGAGAAAAAAAACATGGCCCATAGGCAGGAGCCAGGAGCAGTCTTTCTCTCCCCACAGCACAGATCCCCACAATGCAAAGAGAGCAAAATAAGAGCCGCTTGTTTTCCCGTCAGCAGCAGCTGCAATCACAAATTTTACCTGTTAAAAGGTTCACAGGGCCCCAGAGAGAAGCAGTCTGTAATAGCCCAAGAAGCTTCATCTCAGAGATGCAATTTCTGACTGGCAGGAGTTAATGGGGGAAGCAAATTAACTGATATAGAGACAGGATGAGCCCTGGTACACATGCCCGTGCAAGAAGAGGTGGGAGGTGACTCTTTCCATGGGTGAACCAATTCTTTGGCATTATGGGATTGGACAGGTCAATCCCCTCCATCTCTCAGCCTCAACTCACTCGTTTTCAGAGTTAATACAGATAAATGCCCCTTGTTTTCTCCGTACGGATATACCTTCAGTCTCTCTCCTTTTTTTTTTTTCTTTTTTTTTAAACCTGATGTCTTCATGCTCTTTGCTGTTTCTCTCTTTCTTTGCAGAACTATTTCTTCCTCCTCATTTTATTTCCGTTTTTCTCTTTCCAGAGCTCATTACATCAGCTCTTTTCCTTCTGCTTTTCTCTTTTCTCTTTTCTCTTTTCTCTTTTCTCTTTTCTCTTTCCCTTCCCTTCCCTTCCCTTCCCTTCCCTTCCCTTCCC